CTAAGACGGCACTACGAGACAAAACATCAGGACAAGCTGAAAAATGTGAATGCAGAGCAGAAGCTAGAGAAGGTAGAGGAGTTGAAGAGGATGCTGACATCACAGCAGACCAAAGCGAAATCACACAGTAAAGCTGCTGTGAAAGCAAGTTTTATTGTTGCAGAGGAGAAAATCAGCCTGGCCATTTACCGAGCGAGAGTTTCTGAAGAGCTCCATGATGAAAGTGTGTGACGTCTTGTGTCCAGACAAAAAGCAGGTGTTTGCAAATGTAAGTCTTAGCAGAAATACGGTTGCTGATTTTAAGTTCAAGTTTATTTTTTTTGGAATAATATTGTATCCTGTTTGCTTCGATTCATTTTTATGTTCAAAAAACATTTAGTTTTAGTCTGTTCAACAAGTTTTTATCCTGTTTGGCCCGCGACCTAAAGTGTGCTTTGAGTTTTGGCCCCCTGTGCGATTCAGTTTGACACCCTTGCTTCAGCGCAAGACTATTACATCCACAGTGTAAGAAGGAGCGTTACTGTAGGTAATTCCTCCCCACAGCAATCAGACTGTACAATACATCACTGCAGGGATAAGCTAGGTGAAAGTATGAGGGACTATGTAATACTCAACTGAGGTACAATATTTAAATCCTGGGGTAAAATGCATGGTTAATATGCACATATGTAAATTCTGTTCTTGATTATTCAAATACTTGATTCTGTCTATTTTTGAGTACTTGGAATTTATTTATCAAGATGTGTGTGCGATGCTTGTTCTCATGGTGTTATGTTGTCTGTTCTCTATTGCTGCTTGACGTACTGAAATTTGTTATATCAAGATATGTGTGTGGTGTTTGTTTCTCATGGTGTTGTGTTGTTTGTTCTCCATTGCTGCTGAAACACTGAAATTTCCCCATTGAGGGATCAATAAAGTACCTACCTACATACCACTCTTAATATCTGTACCTTCATTTTACACTCCTGCGGTTTATCTTAGCTTGGATTTAAGCAAAGAAATTGGTGGTATATACAACTGCATCCAATTCATATTGTATACCAAAAACATTACAATAGTGTCACACAATATAGTTCCTATCTGTACTTTATCTTTTTAACTGTAATTGTTATTTTGCTACTAAAGGAAAATTTTGATATATTTCAGGGTAGTTGGTGAGTAGGTAGGTAACCCCAGCCGGTTAATCATGACAGTCAGCAGAGGCAGCAGTATTTATGAATAGGAGGAACCTCTGAAACATTTCATGTAAAAACCATGTTTATTTGTAAAGCTATGTAGATATTGGCAAGTTAACATTTCCCTAAACCACTACACTGGCAGTGGGGAGTTAGCCCGACTCCAAGAATGCCAGAATCTGCCTTTACTGTTCAGGGAACTTATTAGTACTTATCTTGTTAAAAATCAAAGGGTCTGACACAGCATCAATTTTCACAAATTCTCATTGCACAGCTTTGCTTCCTGTCCTTTATTGGTCATATCATGTCATGACATTGCGTTTATCTCTGTTCAGAGATACACACGTAACTATACTCGGGAAGTCAATTTGAATCTGAATTTGTCTGGACTTTCATTTACAAAAGAAGTGACAGCCCCAAACTACAAGTGAAACATCAGTCCAGTTTGAATTGCCACAAAGCTTTATTATAAGATCTGTAATTATAAAAGCATGGCTTTTGTGTTATTCTTTAAAAATGTAAATAACGTCTCAGTTAAACTGCCATATTATTGCTATCCACAGACACTATCCACTAATGCAGTGTGCACACAGATATGTCCTTGTGAGGACAAAACTCACAGTGTTCCCTTCTCTCTGTGCTGTTTGTGGGAGGATGACCGTTCTGGGAGAGAGCTGTGCCAGGTCTCTTGTGGGAACCCCTACTCAGGGTGGCCCTGCTGGATGCTGTTGTGCCACTCCAGGAAGCCATATGCTGCTGCTCCAGTGTTGACACAGTCACCATGCACTCCTCAGAAGGATCTGTGGCTGCTGCTGCCCATGAGCAGGGCATACGTGAGCCTGTGCTGTGCAAAGACTTCATGGCCGGTGTGTGGCCTGTTGAGTGAATAAAGACATTGGGCATAGTGTACAAATGAGGCATTGGTTAGATCCTTCTCATTGGATTTACTGTAATCAAGGATCCTCTGGCACATAATAGCAGAGAGTGTAATAGGTTCAACCTACTGTCTGTGTTGATGTCTTTTCCTTTGGGCAGAGTCCCAACCTTGTCTGTCTGAGGTTTGAGACCAGTCAGTGGTGCCCTCTTGTGGCTAAGGCTACGTGTGCCCTGCACACTGTGGTCTGCCATACCAGAGATGTCTGAGTGACACTGCTTGGAGGTTTTTCCTACAATGAGTAGCAGTGAAAGAGTTCATGAAAATAAAATAAAAAATGATCTATTCCTGGCTCACAGAGAGTGGATTTACCCAGACACTGCAGTGTGATGTGAATGTGCAAAACAATCAGCTAGATATAAAGAAATCACACTGGATATGTGTGGGAGGAAAACCGTAACAGAAAACTACTTAATAGTGAGAACCTAATATACATAAAGGATGTATAAACAAACATGCTATTTAAAGTAATAAGCCACATTGCAACATGGCACCCCCTGTGGAAATATTGCCACCACACTGGCTTTGTTCATGCTTTGATTCACTGGACTGAAGATATTTATTCGGTTTGGCTGAATGCACTTCTTATACTTATAAAATGTGACAGCTAAACATGAGATGTTTGCATTGCTAATGTTTGCAAATATTTTTAGTAGCACTGACCTGTATTTTACCCTACAGCGTGTTATTAAAAGTATAAACACATATTCTCTTAGGATATCAAAAAATGGAGTCTAAAAATGGTCCATTTCTGTCTCTATGGGAGGACTTTCATGTTTCTCTCTAAAGAAACCCTTTCAGACAGAAACCTATTTATAAATGCATCAA